ACAGGCGCTCAATCCATGTTGAGAACAGACCTCTTCAGTACGGGACAATTAATCTAACCTCTCTAAATTGAATATGCTCTTCTGAACCTAACTTTCAAATACATTAAATTTGCCTATTCTCCCTTATATAATTTCATTGGGAAGGCTAATTATGCTTTTGTGTAAACAAAGATCAAGGCCATATATATTGACTATGTTAATTACTGTCCAGATAGGCTTAAGATTTTATGCAGTAAGAAAGGCATTGAGGATAGAGATTTCATCTGTGTTTCTTGCTTTTATTTTGTTGTACTTTAGCCTTAGAAATCAGAAAGAACAGATTATGGGACCAAATATTATTGATGTTTTTTCTTACTGTCCTCCAGGAAAAGCTGCTTTCATAATACGCAGGTATTGTGTCAGGGTGGCCCCTCTTCTGTTATGGATTAATAATGAAAACATATTCCCAGAAAATCCCATTCACTGCATTCAATGAATAAACACTCAACAAACATTTTGGTGTTTTTCATTTAGTCCAGTACCTTAAATGAAAAGCAGTACCTTAATATGCAGACTATATTTCCACAGATAAAACAGAAGACAAGACAAACAGATCAGGAAAGACTCTTCAAAATGCCTTTGTGAGCCTGGTGAGCTACTGATGATCCTCTAATTCTATTAATAGAGAAATCTGCTTGCCAAGAACATGGAGGAGACTGAATCATGCCAATTCAACATTTCACCTCTGGGAAAGTAACTTGCAGAGCCAATAGGGTAGTCTATAGCCTGTCAAGCTGTATCTCCTGCTACAATTGGACAATTTATCTATCTCCTTTTGTGTGAAACTTTGTTGTAGGCTGAACCTGACTGTCCTATGATATATTAGTTCTGCCTCCCGTTACATAACAGCAGAGGGAAGGTCAGACCGATCCTATCAGAACATTATGATTAGAAACAAAAGCAAAAATAATGTAGTGATTCACCTGCAGCTTGTCACAGCTTGATGTTTTGCTGGATTGGGATGTACTGGACTCTTAGTAAGGGCAGAAGCCCTTATGTGCCTGTTTCTCTGCATGTATTTCACCCATATTAGTTTAGCATCAATAAAGTTTATTTTAGCATCTATTAGTTTAGCATTGAACTGCACCAGCAGTCTGAATGGATTTTCCATAAGTAAAGATAAATTTTTGTCTTGACACCCATAGAACAATGGCTAATGCACCAGTTTCTGAAAGTTGACTTCAATCTAAACAAATTTTCACAAGACGTGATTTGACATCAGTCTCTAAATTGCTTAAGTTTAGACTGTTTGCATTCCCCTAAGCAAACAAAATGCTGTTATAACAATGAAGATAAATATCAGATTTGACTTCAAGAATCACCTGATGTAAAAAAACTAACAGCTATTTAGCTTCATCCTCTGCCGGGAATCAAAGTTCCCTCATCTGCTTAGTTGACACATGGATTTTGCCCTCCCTTTCAACTTCGGATGGTTCAAAGTTAGATACTTATCCATGCTTGAAATCCTGTTTTCTTAAATTCTCAATTCCACTTAATTCCCAGTACACCTCCTTGTATTCATTTCCAAGCTAACACTCTTCAAATTAAAGTATTCAATAGTTATCCATGTCCTTATTAGAGAAAGATCACTAGTTTACAGACTAAAGGTATGCTCTTGTAATAAAGCAATTACCAGGGTTAGTTGATTAAGTAAGACATTTTCCTAATAAAAGGAATAGAAATGGGTCTGGGTCCAGAATAGCAAGTTGTGAAACCCATTAGAAAGCGCCTTCCTGGAAGAAAGGATAATGAAAACCTTTCTATCTAGTCCCAGAAGTTGCTGTTGGTCCAGATACCCCAAGCATTTCCTTCTAAGCCGGAGATGGAACTTCTCCGATCGAACAGCGTCATCCTAGCCTGTACCTGTCTTGTTTAATTTAAATGGGCCCATTCAGTCTTTCTGAATGTCCCTTCAGTCTTTATGGGTTGTTTCTGCACTGCCAATCCCTTGATCTCTGTTCATATTTAGAAATGGAAGTGAGTCCAGACATTTGACAGGCTTCCTTTACTAACCAGTTCTCAATTGATAAAAACTGAAAAAAATAAAATTCCAGTGCCCAAATTCCCTATGGTATGTATAACTCTATCTGTATGCATCTTAGAGCTGTGAAGATGGAAATGCTATTACTCCCAAATCAGAATTTGAATTGCTTAGGATGAGAAGCACCCTACCCTCATTCTTGCAACACAGAGAGCTGCATCCCCAGAGACTGCCTTGTGACTGATACATGGATAGGGCAGGCTTTGCAAAACAGAAAGGGTTGGAAAGCGCCCTTTTAGCTCCTTGGTGCTGAGAAAGCAGTTAACACAGGTGGCACACTGTACAAAGCACTGCTTGTGTTCAGCTTGTGTTTAGCAGATCCATTGGGTATTAGGGAATTGTTTCTGTCAGGTGGCAAATCTGTGCCCTCCATCTCCCTGATTATACAATCCTTTACTTTCCTGTATCATCCACCATATCTCTCAACCATCCCATCATTCAATTTTAGCTGTATCTGTACTGGAAGGTAGATGAACTTGAGTGAGACTGCAAGGAGCAAGAGCGAGGAGCTCTGCGGGTGTGTTAGCATGTCTGCATGGGGCTGTGCCCTTGGGAAAATGCAGGGTCAGCAGGGACCCTGGGATGAGCCTCTGGCATTTGCTGTTGCATCCTAGTAGGATAAGCCAAGTCCTCCAGACAGCACTTTTGATGTTGAGTGTTTGCTTTAGCTCATCTCTTATCTTATTTCCCTTTATCTTCTGCTGCTTACAAGGTGACTCTTTAGAAATACCAAGACAGGAATTATGAATGCTCAGGTCTTGGAAATGGGTAAGAATCCTGAATTTTAGTTTGAAGGGACTCAGGAGAAGCCCTTGGCTGCACTACAGGGATAGAAGGAACAGCCGCTGGACCCTGTGCAACATCCCTAACTCCGACTAACTCAGCACAGGCAGGGATGTTTTGGACTGTTCCACTGTGAACGGTGCCTGACACAAAAATAAAACTGTGGTAATCAAGGGGGCAGGGTTTTTGTTTTTTTTTTTGTGGGAGGTGAATTGCTGTGATCTGGCTTACCAGGGCAGTGAGACAAGTGATTCTAGCCACCTCTTTTGAACCAGAAATGAGCTGCTGAAATTGCGCACTCTACAGTATGAGACCATAATAAGCAGGGATGGCAAGAAAATTTCAGGCACACAACAGCTCTTTTCTCAATCCCTTTTATCTGCCTGCAGTTCTCTCGCACCCAGAAATGCAGAGCTTCATATCCAAAGTTTCCAGTCACCTATGAGGCCTCATGGTTACTTTCCAAAATTTGCACAGTTCAAGATCCTCAATTCTAATAAGTTTCCTGCCCTTGAAGGTCTTGGCATCTCTGCTGAGCAGGTCAGAGCTCTCTCCCTTTCTCCTCGTGAGCCCCCCATCTGAAACTCCCACAGTCAAAGTCACTCACATAATCGTGCATATGTCAGGGAAACAAATTTAAACACATTGTGTATGAAGCCATTGTACACTGAGCTATGATGTTTGTAATGTAGGTACAATTAAAAGGCAAATCCTAGTCCTGTGGGTCAAAATGCACCCTGCAGAGGCAGCCTGTGCCAAGCTGGAGAGCTGAAGAGTGGTAATTTCCACCCACCTAAACCAGTTTTTACCTGGGGAGCTCTGGCATAGAAAGGGAAGAACTTCCTCCACATGGTCAGCAGATTTCAGTGAGATTGGGTGTTCCCTTTTCTTGATAAAGGCACAGATATGTAAATGCTCAGGTTTTCTGGCACTACAGCTATTCATGTTCCTGGATGTTTGATTCCCAAGTGAAAAGGAGCAAAATGTTACAGACAAAAATATATTGAAAGAGATGAGTTTGGGAGACCAGTTTTATAGCATCATCCTCACACACCCTCAAGGAACCCTAGCCCATCACTTCCACGAGAATGAAGTGATCTAGAACTATAAATGCAATAAAGTTAATTTAGATGACTATCAGAGCATGCTCATCAGTCCTGGTCAAGCTATGCTGCAACCTACCCTGTTTTTTTCAGCATCTATCACTTCGATTTTCTTCCCTTTCTCCACATCACAGTGACATATTCCGGATCAAAGATTCTTGGAACATGGCGTAGGGGCTCCAAGATTGCCTTTGAAAACATTGCTAGCCTAAATGTTTTTTTTTCCAAAGACCAATGTCATGCTGTAAGGCTTAGTGTTGCCACAGCTTAAAATACTTCTGCACTGGCCTCATGTAGGAGTCCCATCTTGACATGAGGGCCTAGTGGTCCAGGCTTTGGTGATTTCCCACTCTTCTCACTTTGACTTCATGCAAACGAGATTAGTGGACCTCTATTTCAGCGGAATGAAGTACTGTAAGGGAATTTTGTAGCAAGAGAGAAAAAGCCTACATTAAAAGGTATGCTTTTCAATCTGAAATTCCCTGTTCAGCACATGAAAGAAAGTTCTCTGTGATTAGTCAACTTCATCAAATATTAATGTCTAAAGATCAGTCTTGCCTTATGTTTGCTTTGTTTTTGCCTTGAGGTTGTTAGCACGCATTTCATCTTTACATTAATGATTTTGTGTGAATGTAAGAGAAAAAAAGAAGCAGGAAGGATGTACTGGGATACCTATCAGCTACTATTTACTCTAAGCCAAAATACAAGCTGGAAAAAATAATTACCACAGACAAAATGGGAACATTCAGGCGTCATTACAGCACTGTGAGGACTGTTTACCTTTGCTTGCTCTTTCAAATAACCAGACTATGTTTTTTATTATTGCTTGGAAAAGCACTGAGAACAATATGCCTGCTACTCTAGTGTCTCACGTCTGAACTACAAGAGGACTTTTGGTGTTATAGTTCTGTGATTACTTGTATGAGGCAAGATTGCTTTGGAGTCTTTAACCAAAAATAATGTTTAGAGATTTGTAAATTCCCCCACAGTGCTCATTATACTGTTTTCTCAAGGAGGCTGGACTGATACGCGACATGGAGGCTACCGATTCTGCCTTCACTAACGGTACGTGCCCTTCATACCCCATACAGCTCATCCCTTGTGGAAAAGAGGTCCCTGTGGTGGGAGCTCATAGGATTCGTGATCCACTGAGTGTCTCCTTAGAGGAGAGTCAGGAAATCTCCTGCCCTGTTGAAGTTAACAGATGGCTGAAAAAAATCCATTCTGTGAGAAAAATTGAGCATGAACATGAGAATAGTCTTGTCTGACCAAGAGCATTCCAATATATGCAATTCCAATATATATCCAATATATGCTTGTATGGTGCAGTAGTGCCAGGAAAGGCCATGTTTTTTACAGTACAAGGTGAAGCCGGCAGTGCCACAGTCAGATTTAAGCTTTAGCTGAGGTCTTCCCTGGTTATATGTCTTTTATAACATCAAAATCTTTAGCAAATCCAACACATCTTAAAATCTGCAACTGCAAAAAGAAAAAAAAAATAAAAAGAAGCATGATTCTTCTCTGGACTTAATGTCCCGCAAAATGGACCAGAAGAGTCTTAATAATATCCTAGATGCCAAATTACATCTTTGAATGTAGTTTCATTTTATTTTGCTGTATTGAAAACTTGTGGGAAGCACTTGTTGATCTCCTAGGTCTTTGGGTAATGTGTACACTTTGTCCTTTACTAACAGCTGGAGCAGAATTCTATGAGTTAACTATACTGTAAAGTATATACGTATATGTTTCTGTTTTACAACAGAAACTTTAAACAAAATGTAAAACTGAAGACTTTCTCTTGTTGTTACTGCTTCTCAATAACAACTGCATAAATATAAGCATAGTTTCTTCTTGTCTTGCAGAGATGGAAATGTGATGTTTTATTATTGTTGATTTACAAACATTTGCCTGTATAGTGATTCAAACCACATGTCCTCTCTGCTACCTTAAGTCCAAGAATAGTTGTAATCATGCAACCATAAACAATGACTCATACCTAAGGCAAGATATTTATGGTGTAATTCTTAAGGCCCCTTTCACCAATGTCAATGTGAAGGGACTGAATGCATTAAAAAACTGCATCTTTGGACCCCAATCTGGGAGAGTAAAATCAAGTGATTTTTTTCAGCAGTTCATGTGATATATGTATAGAGGGATCATTTGTCACAGGGAACAGGACACACCATGTCACAAACAAGCCAAATATACAGTTTAGAGAGTCGTTAATAGCCTGGTTGGCTACATATACAAAGGAAGGTGCCTGTAATTCTCCCTCAGTCTAACCCAGCAACAACTGCTAACCTCTAGCAGTTTCAGAGGAGCCCCCCAAGCAGGCATACTCCTCATTATGTAAATGTTATGCACTTAGCAAAGGCTTGGCCCTGGGGAAATTCAGTCAGTGCCAAGAAGCTTGGAAAGGAAGATATGAGTCTGCAGATCTGTAACAAGTGCAAAACATTTGCTTTCCGTCTGTATTCAGAGAGCAGCTGCAGATTCCTGGTGGCACAAAAAAATGCTCTATATTTACCAGCCAACAATGCTAGCAAATTCCGGAGTTTGCTGGAGCATTCCAGCAATATGAAAACAAAGTTGTTTTCTCAATGGCTAGAGAAAGATGTGAAAATGGGAGCTTTCACTGACTCATCACAATCAGAGGGATTATTACAAAGCTAAATTGTTCTTCCAAACTACTGTTTCCGCATAAACAACTCATTTACAATTGTGAAGAATGAGCATCTTATCGAAATAGACCCTTCTATTATTAAAAAGTTGTCTTCTCCTTTTACTGTAGATTTGCTTTTAACATAACGGCTATGAATTAATTCTTCTTCATCTTCATCTCATTATTTAAAAGGAACTGCCATTGCATTAGTTTTTGCCAAACAACTGCTGCTCTGCTGCCTTCATATCTTCAATTTTTACATCCAAAGAAACTTCCCAGTTTTGGATAGATAACCTTCTGGATCATCATATTCCTCCTGTGATAACTTACTTCAGATTTGCATATTTTTAACACTTCTGGGGAAAACTTAATACACATACCAATTTCCTGTCACACATTTGTGTACCGAGCAGACTTGGCCAGCAACTGAGGTTTATAGATGATCTCTGATGTTCATGTCCCCTACTCCCTGTCCACCTATTTTTCCTAACTCTGCCCATCACCGCTTCTGTCCTCCTTCTTGAACAGACTGAATCCCTGAGGTAGCTCTTGAATGTGTGGGAGGAATGGCCACTTTGGCAATAATAATTTTTCACCGAGAGAAGTTTCCAGGGTAACTGCACTACTTTCTCATGGGCCTTTTTGGCCCATGGAACAGTAGGAGATGCCAAGTAATTTGAAAGGGTGGTTATTGATGAAGTTCTGAGGACATTTTGCAACCATTTCTGCAGAAAAGGAATCTTACAGTTAGAAAGACCATAAGTGGGAGATATTCTCCAGCAGGAGCCTATGAACAAGATTTCAGTGAGTTTAAGTGTATGAAAAGAGTCTGAGCCATTCCATTACTGAAGTAAGCACAAAAGCTTGGCACATAGTGAAAAGACCCATTTTTAAGATTAGATCTCATAAATCAATTCTTGGATTTATTTGTAAACCTGCTTGAAGCTCATTTTCTAGCTAAAGCAAAAACAATATAATGCAGGGGAGAGTATACCCTTTCTTTGGCACATGAAAGTGGCTTTGCACTTAAAAGCAAAGATTTGAACTTAATTCAGCCTTAACTAGTATGTCCAGGCAGGTTCTTCATGATGCTAACCCTACCTGCATACAAAGTGAACAAGCTTCACCTTGCTGACAGCTGGCTCTTCTTTCTTAAGAGTCAATCTGCTTTTCTTGCCTTGTTTTGTCTATGATAGTACTTCCCCTTTCAACTCCATGCCTATGTATTTTCCTTAATCACTTCCCATGGAAGGCCTTCACAAAATCTCTCTAATCTAGATAAATTATAATCCCTACTGTATTTAACATGTTTGTATCATGTAAATGTCATAAATTTCCTGTACGGAAACTGTGCTGGCTTTTGTCTCATGCCATTTTATTCCAAACCATATAATTTCATTTCGGAGTGTTTGTGTGTCATGAGCTTCATCGACCCCAAGGGTAGCTCACCTTCAGCTTCTTCAGAAACAAACAAAACAAGGCAGTCCTCTGAGATCATAGACGGTACAACATCACACATTACAGATAATTTATTTTCATTAATTGAAACATTTGGCTGATTTAATGACTTCTGAAAGTATACAGTAGGAGTAAAAATTAAGAGTTCTTTTTAAATAATTTTGTTCTGAAATTGTCTTACAAATATGGAAGCTAAGAGAAATGAAAAGAATATTGACTTAAAAAACATCTTGAGTTCTCTCCTTGCCAGCTGTTTTTAGAGCTACAGAAATGAGTATAGAATCAAGTATTCAAGAGAAGTTTAGTTTCTTGCTGACTCATGAACAAAGAGAAAATAGGTGAGTTTTTTTCATGCAAAAAGAGTTAGCTAAATACTCTTAGCTTCAGGAAATGGAGATGCTATGGCTATGGCAACAGATACTGTCTATTTTGGAGTCTCATATACTTCTCTGACAGCTGTTATGTTGGTCAAGTCTGTGAACAAGTTAAAAAATGAATTTATTAAATTACTGGAGCTACTAGACCCAAAAAGAAAAAAAAAAAAAAAAAAGACTGCTTTTAGGGTTAGGATTAGTTAGTTACACTGATAGCTGGAATTTGGGTGCGTTTGGGTGTGGGTACTGAGGGGAAAATTGCTAATGGATCCAAAGTATCTGCTCTCTTATATTTGAAAAAAGATATCAGATGGATCTTTGCCCGGTCAGTAAATGTTTTATACTAGTCCATACAATGGATAAGTTTTTTAATGCCAAACGTGGGAATATTTCCGCCCCACAAAATAGGAAATTAAAGTCCCAAACTTGAAAAAGAATCTCAGATTTTGACATCCTCAGAAGATCCAATCCTAAAATTTAGACTCTTTTAGGTACCCTGGAAGTTAAAGCAGTATGCATTTTGAAATGAAACACATAAATATTTATAGCATTTATAGCCATGTCTCTCACAAAGTGTAGTGCAAACCACAGAATGTATCCCAACTGATGCACTCTTCACTCAGAAAATGATCTCTATTGAGAAACTTTGACAAAAATCAGATATTCCCACCTCCCTAATGTACCTAATATGCAGCTTTCAGCTGCCAGCTCTTTGCTCACTTCAGATATTCACAATGTAGGTCTGTCTCGTCTGAAGCTCTCTGCACTTCTGTGCATATGAGTAAGGTTGTGTTGCTTTGAAAGATGGGATGAAGAAATGCATTTTTTTTTTGTCACCATGTCACAGATTTTCAGTTTCCCTCACATTTGTGAGAAAATCTTTCAACACCTTGGACACTCAGCTCCACAGTTTGTTTAAAAAACAAATAGCTGATAAATTATGAAGCTTTGGGCCCAAGGCATGCCCAGCTTCTAGTTCAGTGTCAGTGAGAAATATGCTGAACTTTTACTTTTTTTTTCATGTGTGAGCTCTCCTTGAAACTTTTATTTCTGTTGAACTATTTGTGTTTTTGTCCTCTATTTCTGCTGCCCATCAGCTAAGCCTATGCTGCAAACTTTCTCCATTAGTGTGGTAGAATTATCCTCCTTATATTCATACCATTATCTTTGTTGCACCTGTAGCAAAAGAATCTTCAAAAACCTTTGCCATTGGACAATTGTTCCACAAGCCCCAAAACAATGAGAGGTCAGGGAGGGCAAGTTAAAAAAAGGTGAATTTCCTTAGGAAGGCAGAGAAAGGACACAGTGACTGCAGTCCTAATGAGCAGGTTTTGAAAGAATTTGATATCCTTTTGGATGTGAATGTATGATAGGAAGAAGACCACAAAGCAAATAACAGGAAGCCAAGTGGTGAATGAGACTAATGTTGAAAGTTTTATCAGCTTGTTTTGTTGTTTTTCTGGTTGTTGGACACAGAATGACCATAGTTCATGCTACAGGGATGTAGTTCAAATGTTTTGTGATGGGGAAAGACAGAAACTCTGAAGTGCATGGAGAAATGATCTCTCTGC